CCCCAAAACCCCAAAACCCCAAAACCCCACAAACTCGTCATAAACTTTTAAAAGTTAATTAAATTTATGAAATAAAGTTTTTATATTCAATCAGTGTCTGAGAATATAGAATAGTTCACTAAATATGCTAATTCTCTTGGGTGGCTAAATTTATCCAACCCCATGAGCTTCTTCAATTTTTAATTCATTAACTCTAGCTGACATATTCAAAAAGTTCATCATAACAAAGAACAAATTATCACCAAGTAATATTTTCTTTATTATCTTGATGGGTGATGCCTCAGCAAATGTCTTATTAAATCCTTATCCAAATTCTCCAAATAAATGAGAGAACACTGAGCCCACATTACTTTTATTAGGCACTATTTTGAAGTAGCTTAGTCGCTCATCTATATTCAGTGAAAAGGAATTAGGTAAAAAGTAAGGTCTATGAATGGTTAAAGATAGAAGGTAGAAGGGGAAGTTAGACACAAAGCCTTGTAAAGTCAATAAGAAAATCTGCATCAACATAATACTCAGGATTATAGTAATGAAGCAAGCATAATAATACATAGCAATTGTTGGAGTTAAAAAGAAAATGAGACTAACAATCAAAACTCCAAGGTACAACTCTTAAATAAGGAAATTGTTTTGATCGATTCTTTTCCTCAAAACATTATACTTCTTTCCTCTAAAAAGTCTAATTAGTGTTCCCATCATTTCAAGTATGTATTTATACACAGCAGCAAATACAGTATAGAGCACAAATATATGCACTGAGCAGAAGAATAATGCATCATGACAGAGTGCTAATAAGATGTTTATTCCAAAGACACCGCTAAGTGCAAAATACTAAATAATGTAAGGTTCTAACTAGGAAAGCTCAGTTGTAACATAATTCCATAATCCAATAATATCAAGCATTAAATTACCTAGAAAGTTATCAAGATTGGGATTTGGTTTCATTCCTGCTGGTAATCCCATCAACCACTTTACTTATCGCTCCAAAACTTCAATGTGAAGACCTCTTCCAAAATAGTGTAAAATTTCTAATATCTGTTTTGATTGATGAATCAGAATCAAAAGCATTCCAGCTCCAAGTGCAATATCAATAACAAATTAGACGATGACTGACATAAGCTTAATGTAAATTGACATCTTATAGAAGTGATTATCGAACTAGAGATGACTCTCACTAGGTAGAGGTTCTTTTAAAAGCCGAAGATAATGTCTGACTTTCTTATAATTTTCGGCTTTTCTTTTAAGCTAGATAATTGTATTCAATTTGCTTAAAGGTTTGAAAATCCAAAGCAAGCTAATGCATAGTTTATATGGGGTATAGACAATCAGGTAGAGAAGAGTAAATAGCTTAGCTACAATACTTAGTCTAAGCCATTTCTCCTTTTAGCCATAAAAATCTGGATCGAATTGGAATTATGAATCCTGCTCAATAGCCCTATCTGATTTAGTAAGTCTTTCCTCAATTAGTCTGTCAAGAATTCTTGAGCAGTTGATTTATCTGACAATTATATCATTTTAACTTAGATCTTCATATGTAAACAACTCGTTGTCCTTGATGTATGGGGATTTCAAATCCCAGTCTCTGCTTCTGTTTATTATCTCTCCAAAGTTCATTTGGCTGATTGACAAGAATTCTCCTTCGTTTTATTTTGGATAGAGGATGAAGTGAGGAGTGACCTTGTACTTGTATTCACAAATGATTAAGTCCCTCAGTTCAAGGTGTATCTACTTAGATTTCTATGGCACACTCTTGATTGTGATCCATATATTTTAGTTCTATTTAAATCTTAATGTGTCACTTCTCTTGCTAAGCTGAATCTCATTATTGCTTTGAGTTTCACTTTCAATAACTCCAAGAATAAGGAGTTCACTGGCGCAGTATGTATTGAATACCTAGAACTTCTACTCTTGTATTATATCCTATAATTATTCAGCACTTTGGACTTTATTTGCAGGAATAACCGAGGTTATTACTAAGACAAAGCCTTCGTAGTTATAGCCTATCAGGTAGCCTGAAGTTAATGCTTTAGACTCAGGGAAAAATATGTTTGCTATGTTCAATTCATCTCCACCCATTTTCAATTCAAATTAACTTTTAATTATCTTTTTTGACAAACTTAAACCATTTCAATAAATCTCATGGGGTTTTGGGGTTTTGGGGTTTTGGGG